ATACCAGTCGTACAACAGCCGCGTAACGATCAATTCTTTTTTACCAATTAACATTTCCGTCGCCATGAAAGCGGTGGTCATGGCTTTGCGAGAAATTCTCACCAGCGTTACTAGATGTTTCCTCAAACCGAAATCAGAGCATCGGAATTAGGTTTTCGAGAGTTCTAAAATTCGTAGAGCCCACTAAAAATGCCTTGTTAAAGCAGCTAACTAAAACTACCTACTAATAATGGTAGATAAACGGTCACCGATTGGTTACGAGTTTGGTCGCGCCTTGGGGCTCAATCTTGAGCCCTGCCATCAGCCGCTCAGCGCCTAATTGTACAGGCAGAAAAAAACCAGAGAGACTGAAATGCCCATTTCTAGTTTATTAGCCGCCATGAATCAGCCTCAAATAGTACACCAACTCGTCTGGGCTATGGCTGGCTGGTGACGGTTAGTAAACCGGAAATAGCTATTCCAGTCCCTCCTTTATGTCGGTTATGCCAAAGTACTTACTTACAAGATACTCACTACAACTGATGTAGTCCATATTGCGAGTAACTGCAACATGAATGGCCACATTGTATTACAAGCAGTTGGGGGGGCTGATTTCTGAGCGAGTCAGTTAAGTCAGCCGGCACGCCAGTCGAAAAAAATTTCACAACAGCGATCATAGCTTTGAGGGGGATCGATCCAATCGCAGACAAGTGAACCCGGTCTTTTAAGCCAGTAGGACCATAAACGGCGCATAGGTCAGGCAGCGACTGATCCACTTTCAAATATAAAGCATTTCTGTCGGAGTGAAAGGTGGCTAATCGGTACAGAATAGCCTTTCTGAAACGTATATGCGGGAAAACCACCTCTCGGCCGGTAAGATTCGGACACACATCGCCAAGCAGAACAGATTTCGTAGGCGGGATTCACATTATCCTATGGAGTATATTTAAAGGCCAGGCTGCAATTCCGTAGTCCGGTTAGACTCGTGCGAATGAGTGAATAGAACTCAGCGAAGGCGTAGATTCTTCGGATCAGCAAAACCCACACCTCGCAAACAGTCTTCGACGACAGCAGCACCTATTAGCCTTATGTTCGGTAAACATTTATGTCGGGGGTCGAAGGTGTTCCATACGCACAACAAAGTGAAGCCCGCACCTGTACGAGATATGCGGGGAAGGAAGTAAGGAGCTGTTTGCTGACAAGTGAAAGAAATGTCCCAATCAGCACTACACATACAGTAGGGCCCAGAAGCAGTGCAACTTTAATGATAAAATTTGACTTGGTACTTAAGGATATATTTCGTCACGTTATTCTGATCTACTTAGCGGATATAATCCTGGGAAAGTCTTTAGTTAGGTTTATTAAGCGTAATGGGCATTAATTTTTGCGAAAATGTGAGTGGTTTCATATCGAAGGAATTTCCTATGCTATCATGTATGACGGAACCAAACTTTTTATTAATGTGCATTGTGCTATAGTAGAAATCCAAAATACGTAAGGTAAGTTTAAAACATATCCCTTCCAGAACCGGAAAATTTCGTCCGAAGTTGCGCACATTTAAGTGAAGCCAATTTTAAGGAATCGCATTTATTTCCGAGAAGAGGGGAAAATGGCAGTTTTAAAAATGATTTTTCGCTAAACTGGGAAGTTGTTTGGCAGAAAATGCAGCAAAAATGTCTTGAGCACATTTTGCTTTAGCACATCAAGCGTTAGAAGAACGTTAGCAAAGCTGGTCATATATTATCGCGAACACTTAGATAAAACCCAATCTCATTAAATCAAAATCATGTAGAAATATACTTTCTATCCACTATAATTTGCGCTTATGGGTAATTTACAAACAGAACAGACAGGATAATAATTATAATTTCAAAAATGGCCATATATATGACCACTCTTCTTTGCATTCGCAAGCTTATAATAGATCTTGGAAGAAATCCAGTGTGACAGAAAAAAAGTAATATTCACAGAAATTCGTCAGTTGAATACCTAAGCTATTCTAGAAAGGGTTTTTATTAAGCTTAGGGATAATACTATCAGATTTTTGTTGCGGATGTTGTTTTTTCTCGAAAATGTGTTTTGCTGTCTGGAGGAATTTCTAGATATGGTCTACATGACCATCTTCATACGAACTAATATTCAAAAACTTAGTCCTTCGGTAGATTCTTATCACCGATATCTTATCCTAAAGGTTTTGATATAAACGTTGAAAGAAATCTTAATTCATGCACATTGAATTCAAAGTAAGTAAATGTTTGTAGTGACGATGAAAACACAGGTTGATGACCAGAAACTTGTTATTGTCAACAAAGTTGAACACTCTTTCGTCACTGTCGCATTGAGAACTAGGTCCAGCACCAGGATGAGGTGGGAGTTTGAAAGATAACCGGTATCAAGTCGGTTACTTCCTTCTTTGGTAACAATTAACAGATAACGGCAAGGGTTTGAGGTCAGGTTGTTTTTTTATTATATAATGGCCAGCAGATGATGTTCGCACTCAGACAGAAACGAAAGATCACGCTGTTTAGGCAACTTTTCAGTCGTAATTGGTTGATTCTCACGCGAGCCACGCACTTTTACCTGGTTCCGGAAAGGCAGTGATCACACCATGTTTGCCAGCAGAATCGCGTTCAGCGCTGCGACAGAAGATGAAATGAGGTGGAATTTCACCTGGTGAATTTTGATTTCCAGAGACTTCGCGTTAGTTATACGGATTTCAAGTAGACAGCAGACATTCAATGCTGTACTAATAGAAGCCGAGCACTGCCAGACCTTGCGTACCACACAGTCGAGAAACTTCAGCAGATTCCAGCATCTACTGCTGGGGTACCATTTCTGAATGAGTAGTCCAGTTCGCCCACTAATTGCCTGCACCACTGAATTAGGAATACGGAGCACGTCTGTTGCTCGCACGCAAGAGCCCTCTCGCGTTTAACCACATTACGTTCGTTAGGAATGTTGGCTGCAGATGGTAATAAATATCCATTCGTACTGGAAGTTCTCTCCTTGGAGAATCTAATAATAAAGTTGCAGGCACTTGTA